GAGTATCGGTCGCGATACCCCAGCCGATCGATCGCTCGATCATGAGGACAGTCGGCCCGCTGACGGATTTCCATCGATGTCGCTTGCCACTCTCGTGATGTTGACGTGATCTCGTGAAGGAAAAACTCTTGTGATATCGATGTGTCGGGAGTGATCCGAATCCCCCGTCACGTCCAGAATCATTTGGAAGATTCAGGATTCCGGATCCAAATCCGTGGCGGACTATCAATGAACGGTCTTGATCTGTCCCGGTCCGTCGTGGATTGCAAGATGAACGGTAAGTCAAACAAATTTCATTGATGATGGAGCAGCATTGAAGAACGTTCACCACGACGACAATTGAGTGACACGCGATTTATGCTCGCGGAACGAGGCGCGCGAGTCGGTTAAAATTGTCGATTATCCGGCATCGCTGTGGAAATAACAGTCGCGAGAACGATCTCGAGTCAACAGATGCGATTAAAGATATTTCCTCGTTAGCACGTACACTCGTGACAATAAATTTGTGCCGAATTAAATTACGCCTTTATTTAAATTTAGATCGAATCGCACATGTCGGCCAATTTTCACTGATATAAATAAATTGACTTTGTAACTTTTTATCTCTTACAATCTTCTCGATTATATAAAATCAACACTGGCGTGACCGGTTGTCAAAGTGTCAGATACCGAACGATATTCGTTACGAATTCGATACTCTTGCAAAGTTGGACTTGTTGACGCAAAGTACCCGCTCGTTCGTTCTGTTACGTGCAAATATCGGCAAGGAAGCTTGACCGCAGCCTGTCCGGAAGCCAGGCTCCGGAGATTCGATCTTCTGTCCAATTTGGCCTGCCTCGGCCTGGTAATTCCGTGACACGCTGATAATCTTATCGACGTCTCACGATACTGCTCCTGGCCGCAGGATCCGACCGCGTCGTATTTCTAATTAACCCCAATCGCCAATCTGCGCCCCCATGGTAGGGAGATCTGATACTGTCAGCGAGATTGGCCATTAATCGCGCTATTTGCGATGGAGCTTTCGGAAACGCCGGCGTCGCCTCTCGCCACCTCGTGCTCTACAATATGGTACATTAAAAAAACGCTCGTGCTCTCTCTAGAGGATCCCCGTATCGCCAGGATGTCCTGTGCGGTCGGAGCTAACGCGGTCTGCACGAGCGCGAACGTAATTCGCGGTGCAATCGCTCTTCCGACATCTCTCTACTCGCCAATTTGTTTAATTATCTTTTCCGGAAGTCACACTTGCGTTTCTTGAACCTCCGTAGTAATCTCCGTAACCCGCTTCCTTACCGCTCCAGATGCGTTACTCTAGATTTTGATTTGCTCGACAACAGTCACTCCATAAATACTCGTAAAGATTGATCGATATTTTAAAACGATTACAAGATATTGCACACAATTAATTTGACTTCTAGATAATTAATGTAAGAAAAATTGAGAAGTACAGTTAATTTTGACCATTGCATGCGATGACAGCTACTTTCTATGTTCGATAACCATATTTTTAGTAAAGAAAAACATACAAGAGAGGGTATATACTTTGGCATTTATAAATCTTATTTGACAATGAATTTATAATAAAAATGATTTAGACACCAAAACCCAGTCATGGCTCATAGCTCTCTCTTTCCTTTGGTATTGTTATTAAGCCAGAGCCTTACTTCAACTTATTCTTTCTTATTCAGTTGCGCGTATCAAATATTTACCTAATAATATTTGGATGCGCGCATTTGGCCTCGCGTATCTACTTAATGGTAGATTAATCGATCATTGGCTGATCGTTTGTTAAACCCTTCGATCGTGAAACGTCAATTGCTTATATATGTGGCGCATGCAACTACACAGCAATCAATAGACGAATTCACAAAGTATCGCACACGCGCATCAATCATCGATCACAATAGACCCCGTGCGATGCAAAAGAGTCATTTGCTTTATAACTCGCTAACTACTTCACCGCCATGGGTAAACATGTATTATTATTTTCACAGTAAATATCATGTGACACACAATGGCAACTGATAGAATAATTTTCATTAGCCGCCTATCCGCCATCGCCAATAACATTCTAATTATTCAAGATCCAGCCCGACCGAAAATGGCATCCTCTCTAATTATTCGTTGGATTCCTAGCGGTCCTGTTTCACTTATTATTCCAATTATTGGTTATAAAATGGCCCGTAATATCCCCGTAAGATTCTACATCTACAGGCTTATAATAAAATGAAACGTGACTCTTTCATTTTGGGAACGAAGAGATTACTTTTAAATTAAATGAAAATAATAAATTTATTATAGCGAGTGGTGCTTATATTCTTTAGAATTAAACAGCTGTCGAATGACAGGTATAGAATCCTAAATACGTCTATATGCGTCTGTGGAGGAATGTCTCAATTGATATAAAAAAAGACATTCTTCCCACGATTAATTTCGTCTAGGGTGTAAGCCACGCTAGAGCGGCACTTCGCTCTAATCGTCTTCGGAGCCTCTCGAGCTACTATCATCGGGGATAACGTCATGGTTCAACAAGTACACTCGTACTTCTCTGTCAAGGGAGAAAATATTCCGGCACTTGTGTCCCACAGGAGTCAAAGACCCCTGCTTTTCGAGGGTTTTCCAAATATTGTTGTTGTATCATATCGACTACTTACCGCGTGACGATCTGGAGTGCATTTAGCCGGGTACCCTCGCGTGATTAGGTCCTTTCTTTACGATCATCTCCGGCGATGAAGATCCGCTGAATCGTGTTTACCCCGCCGATTAGGACCGAACTGTGGATAACAGTATCGCACGGTGTGTTGCAGTTATGCTTTTGTACTGTTCTGGAATATATTTATAATCGCTTCTCAATTATGTTTTAATCGCAAAACTCTGATCGTGAACGCATCTCCTTTCCAGACGAAACATTCGGAAACAATGCAAAATGTAAAAAAATTTTAACCACGAACTATCTCTGTCTGGAAAAGGGTTTTCAGTTAGTTCCCATAAATATTTTAAAACTTTGTTTAAAAAATACCGTCCCCCTTTTTTATTTCTTTATCACAAAAGAGGTTAACTAATTTTACTTTTTAATCGCGGCTTTAATTATAGTTGTTTACAGTTTTGTTTAATATAATTTAGGAAAAATGTATGGGTTAAAAGCGATTTATCTCCTCCCATTAACTATGACGCATCGATATCGACACTCGCAGACGTTCTGTCTCTTTGAGCTTCGTGTCGACAAGCACGCCTTGCAGGATCACCGTTTTCTTTTACGACTCGCCCGCGCCGACGTAAGTCGACGGATCCTTAAGTCTTTGTTTACTCTCTCGATTAGAATGGAATTGAAGCCGGCATCGTAAAATTGATATTTTTAACGTTTTATTGCGGTATATGGATCGCATTTCATACATCCAGCTGAATTTAATGCCGTAGAAATATTATATGCGCCCTCTCTACGTTCTACTTAACTTTCAAGAGGAAGACGTGCAACAAAGCGAGCGATTGAAATATTTAATAGCACCCTCGCGATATCAAAATTAAATCGTGAGAAAGTTGTTATCGCAAAATTATATAGTGCTTCCTTTCTTTCTTCCCTATCTTTCCACGACAATTTGTCTTCCTTTCCGATGCACCTGCCAGCTCGTCGCTAAAACGATCATTTGCTTAGTCGCCGATTCACACGGAACTCTCGCTGTTTGCAGAGGACCCTCGATCTTCGCAGGTTTCTACGGCTGGCTCGAGGACGCGCGCATAAAGTTCACAGTTTGTTTTTAGATAGCCGATACACCGCGTGGATATCTTTCGATTCGGAGATAAGACCGCCCGTTAAAAAGGACCCGTGTCGTATCCGGCTAAAGCGAGTTGTACAAACAAAATCAGATTCGTGCGTCGTCGCTTTGTCGCTTCGAGCGCGATATTCTTGCCACGGGTAGATGATAAATTTAACGTTTTCGTTGTGCGCCGATACGCAATTAAATGCGCTTATACATCCCTTGCATAATTTATGCTCTTTTAAACAATGCTGTCATATTGCCGCGCGTCTCGTATGTATTTCATCGTATACAACATTTTCGCGTGCGGCAAACAATTTGCGTTTGTGACAGAATCTATTTAAGTACGTGCAGGATAGATGCCCTTTATTCCCGAATATCTTGCACCGCGTGACATCACGACGCATCAAAAACAGCCGACAAGAGGACAATAAAATCCTTATCACGGCAAACATCCTCGGCTTGGGTGTCATTGCGTGCGCGCGGCAGCTGCGTATGAAGAAACACGCCGCAGATAGCGCTTACTCCAATTGACACTTGTCCTTGTGTGCCTAGGATTCCGCCGAGTCGTCGCGAGGGAAGGGAGAAAGAGGGTCCCGCAAATACACATTTATTTTACCTCTCGCGTGCAAAGCCATTCATGATTTCCCGACACCTTCATCGAAACGCAAGGTTTACACGAAGCCGCGATCTTTCCCGGCAACAAAACGCTCGTACTTGCGTTTAATATCACGAACTGCGACTTTATCGCGGGAACAACGAGCTACCGCTTTCTCAGAAATGACCAATCAATACGTCACGTTCCGGAAAGTCGTCTCTCATCGTTGCTCTATACGTGCGAACCTTTCTTAGTAAACATTTCCGCAAATGGCGGACATGTGCTATTGAAAATGTAATAAATGCTTAAGTGTAATCTTTTAGTAAAAATACTCGTGTCAAATACAGATTTTTACGGAAGAAGGAAACGAACTGTTATAATATTCCAACGTTTTGAAAAAACGTTCTTGATTTTATCTTAACACGTCGAACGAAGAAGGCAGTCAACGTTTTTTATTTTCGTTTTAGAAAGCAACAGTTCCAACTAATTATAGAAACTCAAAATACTACAATCGTTAGCAGTCAAAAATGAAATTTACAACAATATAACGGTCTCTTACGAACACTGCTACGGTATTTACGAAATAAATTTAATTCCGTTCCTTATTCAAGATTCATTGGTTCACATCTCGGTTCGCTTGCTCTTCCTAGGTAGCAGCGACGAAGGCGAGTCGACATCGGGTGCGACTGGCGGGGGTGGCGGCAGCGAAAACGCAGAAATGGAGGAGAACGGATCGACTCGCACGAGTAGCAACAGCAGCAGCAACAATCCCGTTTACAGGGATCTGAAGTTACTTCAAACCAGCGGCGAAGTTCCGCAGGAGTACAGCCTGCAGTCGCGGACCGCCTATCAGCAGCAGCGCGGATACTCGCCGGGGATGGACCGACAACGGAGTTACGAGAAGGAGCAACTTCAACCGTCGCCGTCCTCCAGGGAGGACGAGAGAAAGTCATCCTGGGACTACGAGAAAAGCTCGCGGAAGGAGTACTCGAGGTCGCGGGATTACAATGAATACCGTGAGTCTTACAGTCCCGTCGAAAAGAGTCTTCAAGATAGCCGCGAGGCGTTCAATAGACACATTGTTTCAGTCATCGCCGGTTACGAAAGCATGAAAAATTCTTTGGATTTATGTTCGAGCGATGGAAAACCGTTTTCTGGTAGAATAGATCTGTCGGATTACCTTGCACATCCTGCAATCACTCAAACTGACGCTTCCCAGATAGCACAAGACACTCCTACGAACATTTTAACAATATTCGATTCGAATATTCTGAAATTAAGAATATTTGCACTCCTGTGTGCTATCTGGGTTTCTTCATAAATAACTGCAGTGGTTCTATTGACCGTATCTGGCATTTTTAATAATACAGAAAATTTATTGCGAAAAGTATTACCTCAGCCAGGGTATGAACCTGGACTTCCCTACTCTCTAGGCGGGCGTCTCACCAATTCGACCACTGAGGCATCATAAATATTGGATAAATAATACTCTGACGTTTGTCTGTGCAGAGGATGCGATAAAGCAGGAGCCCAAGGATCACTCGGGCCGCGAGTGGATATCACCGGTCCCGGAGGTCGAGGTCGGCGGTTCGGCACCCGGGGGCCCGTACGTTCGCGCACGCAAAGACATCCCTCGTGGCGCGAGATTCGGTCCGTTCCTCGGCAAATGGGCGAGCGAGCCTTTCAACCCCCGTTACGCGTGGGAGGTGAGTCGTACATTTCTTCTCGCGCTGTATATAGATGTGTGTACGTGTTTATCGTTTCCGCCCGCTTTCGAATTCTCGAGTGGAGGTAGTCGGGGCGATCGTAAAGCGAATAGGTTGGTGCTCGATCAGTTCAAACTGACCTTTTGAAGCGAAAGATGTTTGCTGCGCCCTCAATGTTGCGAAATAGTCTTCTCCAGTGCCGTGCAACTTTTTTTATCGAATTCAATCAATGCTGCAGGTATTTTTTCCCAATGTTTGCCAAGGAAAAGAGCACTTGCTTATTAGTTTATTAGTCCAACGCGAAGGATCAATATAGAAAAAGTGAGATTGCATATAAGGAAGGAGACCGTGTCATTTAATATTTACATATATTGAGCATAAAATATAATATATTATATATATATGCATTTGTATAGAAAAGAATCTAGGATTGGATTCGAGGACTAAACTTACTTCTTTCACGCTCAAATACTTGCGATCTTCCTCATCAATACGTCGACGCATTTATTCGAGATTCACGAGGATTCACACGCGAATCTTATTCGATCGTTATCTCGAGATGTCGTCAAACCGTTTGAAAGATGATCGATCTGTTTATGGCTCGAATTCGGCGTAGGAATCACTCCGATGCCGGTGGGTTTCCTATCCTACTGCTATAATCCCGGGTATTATCCGGCAGATGCCGGTAACAGTGAAGGAGAAAGAGGGAAGAGCAGATAGACAGAGCCGTCTCCTCGGTTCGACAGCAGACACCTGGCCGACTCGCTCGCCGAAGGTGTCATCCACGTTGACAGATCTGTCAATTGGATCCTCTCGCGGATAGCTTTCTCTTTCAGTTCCTCCCAAATTTTCCGATTCCTATGGAATCTGTTGGAAGCGCATACGGTGGACCGCACATTCCTAAGTCGACCGTAAAATCGACGTCCCGAAGTCAGGCTCGGGGAATCAACCCATGAAATCGTCAATAATGGATAATCCTGCTCTTCCTGTTGCATAATAAGAATATTTGCAATCTACTAGACTCACATCGTTCGGGTGTTTCGAATTTGTAATGAACTTTTCAGATTGCAACGTGATTATATTTTGGGAGACTAATGCGATAACATAATCGATCGCGATCCTTGGAAATTTGTTGACATTTGCATCACACGCGAGCGTCAGAAAAGATTTCCAAATTTCGACGGCAGGAAACTGATCGCGTTACTGGTCCAAAGGGTGTGATAGATATGATAGCGGCGGCGTTAGCGCATGTCGCACTGACAAAATGTAAATGGCACCATCCATCTAACTGCCGACAAAAAGGCAGCCGGGGCCAACTGTCGGACCGGCGATTACAGGATCGATTAAAGCCAAACTACCCCTTCGTTTCGTCGGGCCGATCTATCAACCCCACGCGCGTAAACGTGCGAGCGCGCGAGAGGGAAAACATCGCGAGAGAAAGTCGGCCGCGATTTCTCATGTCGATTTATATTTATTTCAAATGCAAACTGAAGAGACGCGAACTGAAAGGACGGTTTTAAAATTAATTCAAATTTTCCGAGAAGTTCAACGTGGAGATTAATATATTATTTTCAAAAATGTGTTAATTCTATTGCGAAAATGACAAAAATTTGCCGTGGAAAATAGAGAGTTTGCTTAAAATCTTACATATAGAAATATTAAAATTCGTAGCAATAGGATATACCTCGTGATCAAATTTCTATGACAATATCGGTAACGAATCCTTGGGCTCTCACGAGACCTTTTTCAGAATCTGGTGAAGCAAAAAGCTCCCTTTCGGTCGATTCGCACGTTATTCCCCAATCCTAATCCTTTTCTCACATCGTCCGGGAAACGTACCTTAGTTCTCGAGGCGCGAGATCGACGAAGGGAGAACAAGAATGTCGAAACCGAAATTCGCCCCAAATTTCCTCAGTGTTTATCCACCTCGAAATATCCTCCAGAAGATCAGGAAGTTTTTATGGGATTATTGAATTAGGCGATCGCTCTGAATCGATCTTCCGGCCAGTTTGGTAATTTCCTTAGCAACGTACATATTAATCTAATCTGAATTAATAATCAAAATAATAAAATAATTCCACATTGAGATAAAACGTTTTAAATTCTGTGAAAATAATGCATCGTTAGGTTTCATTAATTCCTTAAGTGTTGCCGCAATCTTTCATTATTTCCATAAAAGACGAAAATTTTATCTTTAGAATGCGTTATATATTTCCGTGCTACTTCACAACACGCGTTACCTCAGAATTTGCGAAAGGGAATGTAACAATCGCCTTTATGAGGGTCTCGAGTTATTGTCGGGATTCGAATCCAGGAGTTGGCTGCCGATAGTTTAGGTATCACCATTACATCACCTGCCGTGAGATTTCTACCTCGTTTTTCCAATCTTGCGGAAAGGGTGAGATAAAGCGCAGGAGAAAAAAAAATGTATGAGAAAAACACGGGATAAGGGAGGGGTGGCGATCGGGATTCGCTTCTCTCCCGATGTATCCTGTTCGGTGACTCGTGATCCGCAGGACGACCGACCTGCGGCGTGCCTGCGTGGCGACTAAACCAATCTAAGGCTTAAGTTCACTCGGCCGAAAGACCCCTCGCGTGAGGGCCAGGCTCCAATTTGCCGAATGATTTCAAGAACCAAGTTAAATGATCAGCGCGAAATATCGGTGAAGGAGAGCGGGCGCAAATGGAGGAAGGCACGAAAGGAGAAAGTAGCGAAGGAGGACACACTTCCCTAGAAATTTCAGTAAGGAATCAAAATTGTTCAGGAGGGATGAGAGAGGCGTATACAGTCTTGTTCTCGTAGTAGTTGTCGTCGTCATTGTTGCCATAGTCTGCAACAACATCAGCTTCTCTGACTTATATAGAGAAAGCGAGAACATCTTTGAGTCATGAGTCTATTGATTGATATTTTGGCAGACTTGCTTAAAAATAATTTGCGATTTACCCGAACGCCTAGAAATATATTTTTTTAAACCAAACGTGACCTAACAAGAATCAATACGTTGGAGCAATGAACGAATACGTTGGACGAAAATATTTACTTCACTTTATTCTTAGATTTTATTTATTACAGTATTATATCAGAACACATATTTTAATATACATATTACACTGAAACGCAACATGAATTATTATTATGCGAGCGATTTCAAAACATAACTAATTAAAATACAGAAATAATATTGCAACGATTGTGTTCAGAATCACTAGATCTCTTATTAAATTTGTATTAAATGTTATGGATTAAAACATTAAAGTCTTTTTTTGCATATTACACCCAGATTCGTTCATGCGAGATGTCAAATTTACGCCCATGAGATTCTCTTACTCCTCCAGCTACTCGCGCGTATTCTCCCTTTTCAGGATTTTCCTTCACTTTACTTCGTCTACATATTGAAACCAATGGCGTTTTTTTTTCCACGCGGTTGCCGGCAACCCCTCTCGAAGTCTCTTGACTCGAATTGGAGACCGTTCGCCTTTCGGAGCGACCACGTGGGAGAAAAGGAGGGCCAGAGTACCGCTTGTTTTTCATGTTGAAGCAGCCGCACGCGCCTCGTCGCCCGTACGGGGCACTTTTTCGGCAAATCGGTCGGAAATTTTCGCTGTTAGCGACGTATGCAACTGACAAATTATATTAATGGTGATCCTCGATGAAACGTGCCATCGTCAACCGCACGAGTTCTATTCGGTGGTTGATGCGCGACATACGTCATTGTCATATTGATATAAACCAAAATATTGAGATCGATACATGAATTTAATATAATTATCGAATTTAAGACAGATTTGAAAGAGACCATTCAGATAATCTATGGAGTTAACAATTTTCGTAAAAGCTTGCCACAAAATGACAAACATGTTTATAAAGGGATAATTTATTATTCTTTTACATTTATTGTACTCGCATCCCAGATAGCACAAGACACTCCTGTGAACATTGTAAGAATATTCTTCAAGAATATTTGGAATATTCCATAGGCCATTCTTATATATTTATCTTATGCTCGTGGAACATTCGACTGACACTACTATAAATTTTTTTCGAATATGAATAGAATAATCCATCGAAGGTTTCACTTTTGCATAAGAAAATTGTATTACACAATAAACAACGTGCAATACATAAACTCGATGAATATTCGAAAATTATTCTGAACGAATATTCCAAAGACATTCTCGACGAATATTCTAAAAACGTTCTCCTTTCTTACGAATATACGATTTCTAATTGTAATAATCTTTACATATTTATAGAATATTCGATTGGAATATTCTGAAATTAAGAATATTTGCACTCCAGAAGAATATTCATGGAACTCTGTGTGCTATCTGGGACTGAGATTCGTCTTTTCGGTTCCTTCCTCGAGTCCATGAAATCGTAGCATCGAAGATATGCATTCCTTTTATAAAATTCTTCGAAAGCGAGTGCATTGGTAGGGATCGTATTGTCGATATTATTAAATTGTTGGTCCATCCTGAAGTGGGTATTTTAGACAATCCGCGCGTCCGCCGTTTCAGACATACAATAGAGCACATCGGTGCCTATTATCCACAGACATTGCCCATGCGAACTGGTCTTTAGGGCGTTACCGGAGGTCAAGCCCCGGAAGTGATTCGACAATGAGGTACATTATGCTCTTCCACCTTCCCCTTCCTTCACCACCTCTTTCCATCCTCCTCGAAGGCCGATCCACGTCCTTATTAACTCCCTTAGCGCATGTAAGTGCAACGTGATCACTTTTCTCCTGCATCCAGGCTTTCGCGTTAGGCATTTCAAATCGATACCCGAATGGTCAGCAGGATTTCGCGTTCGCCAGTTCTCAAGGCGTAGGGTTACGGGCCGCCTTGCGATTTCTCGTATTTGAATTTGAAATAGGAGAAAGAGGCGTCGAACGGTGAGCTATGGAGAGAACCTGCGCGGGATCGCAGTGGTCGAAATCGAAGAGAGAGACCGAGAAAGAAAGAGAGAGAGAGAGAGAGAAAAAGAAATGGCAAGAAAC